ACTTTATTAGAAGGTAGTACAATCACTTCTTACAATTTTTTTAGCCTTGTCACAATACATGAAAATAACGAGAAACAAACTTAAACTACACCAACCCAAGAGGCTAAATCTACATATTAGTTAGGAAGTAATCATATTACTAAATCTTATATAAAGTTGGCGAAGATTTGCATTACTGTCTCCTTAAACTCCGGCATGCAATATGAATTTGCTTCTTATCATCGCCACACCTCTGTAACTAGTCCTAAGGTTAGCCAGTGTGTCATCTTGAAAAGTATCTGTATATAAGATTAACTTGAAGCTTTATTAAAAAAAGATATAATTTCTAGTAATACATAGAGCGCAATATAAAGCAGGTGCTAATACTAAAATATGTTTTTTTGGCAACACTAACAAGCCAATTACTGAACAAATGTGAAATTATTTGGTGGTTTTAGCTATAAAGAAATAAGAATAGCTCTCCAAAGAAATTTATCAAATTGGCAATTAAAAAGTAGTTGTTCAATAGTTTAATCATGCATGCAAGAGTATTACTTTTGTTTACAGCCGATGCAATTTATTCGTCGGTTTTGGTACACTAGGATGTCACGTTGCATGCCACGTGTACCAAGTTGCCATGTTAGTAGTGGAGAAAGAAAACCCTACCTACTAGTGCCTTATTTGTCCCCCACTCTCTCTCTCTCCTCCCTTCTTTCCCACATGAGGCAGCGATGAGCCATTGATGAACTTGGCGGAGGAGCCAAAGCTGTCAATGAGCTCTTTGATTTGTCTCCGACCCCTTTTGTCTTGGCGCCGCTAGGCTTCCACTGCTAGGCCGCCCCTCTCCTCCCTCCATCCACTTTCCCACCTCTGACAGGTCTACTCCATCAGCAAAGCTAAGAGAGGACAAGGGCGGCGATGAGCTCGACGCGTTTGTGGTGGCACGTAGCTCCGGACGATGATAGATACACGCGACACAGAACAACCCTCCTCATAGCATCAACAGCGACAGGTCTAGATTTGGAGGCCTGAGGCACAAACCGCGCTGGAGATGTAGACCTCACCATAGCCATACGTGTAACTCAGGCTCCTCCCCTTCACCGGGGTTGTCTCCACCTATACCCAAGCTCTACCATCGTCAAGAGCTTTGTGCTCAACCACTGCCATTGTCCTCATTGAACTCGGGGAGGTAAACTATAGTCGAAGCTCGGCGAGGCCGCCGTCATGGTCCTCGTGTGTGTTACTCCAACGAGCTTCACCACCCTATTGAATTCCTCTACGCGGCCATTGGGAACGACAAGCAAGGCGCATGGACTCTTGAAACACGCGGCGACATCCGACTACATCTGCCTAGAACCACATGTACTTGAGGAGCACAAGCTTCCGAATGGAGACGCCCAATGGCTACTTGGGTGGGATGAGGCCGACTAGCACCGGTGTCCTCGGGAAGCCTAGGGACGGTGACAGTGGGTGGAGAGAGAAAGAGAGCGCACCAAGTAAGGCAGCCAGGGGGATGAATGGCCCACATGGTCATTTATTTTTTTTTATGATTGTGCTGCCACATATGGAAAAAAAGCACCCTTTATTTGGTCTTGGGGAGGGGGTTGTTAAGAATGTTCAGTATTGATAGATGGAGGGTATAATTTACCGGGTTCAGAAGTTAATAGTGTATTTTACATAAAGCGAAGAGTAGAGAGAGGTAAAATGAACTATTTTAATATCTCTCTGCACCTGAGGTACCATGAACTTTGAATGGTTTCTGTCAAATTAAATTGACATGTTCCCCACGTTCCAAACTGGAGGTTCAATATGATGCATGAGTGTACAAACTACACCACACGGAACAAGAGATTGGCTCTCTCTCTTGGCTTTTACTTGCTGGAAAAAGGATCAAATTAATAATGGAGCACGCTAATGCATATATGAATGGATGCATGCACTTACGTTGGACCTGAAATTGGGCTGTTCATGTCCTGTGGCTAGCTGGCTGGGCCATGTTCCCTGGCTATATATGGCTGCAGCCTGTAGGTCTCGCTAACGAGACACTGACCCTAATTAACTTCCTGACAGAACTATATAGTAGCTAAGCCAACAAACAACACAGAAACGTACTATCTGGAACCAGAAAATGTGTGTGCTCTGATCTGATCTGATTAATTAACCATTCTGGTTTAATATCATTGAATCGATGTACGCAATTTCCAGGTCATGCATCAATATGGTACACTATTTGTACAGACCTGATCCGTATAAATACGCGTTTGAATTACGTCTTTTGTTGGCCATTTGACAAATGACAACGAAGAGTGTTTATAAAGTGAGTGTCCTGACACTGACTTAAGCAAGAGGAATAAATCCACTGTAAGTACAAAGCAACAGAATGTATGTATTCCAGCCGGAGTACCCTTAAAAAGAATATTCCGGCCGGATCAATTAGCAGTCTAATTTAATACTCAGTGGATGGGTGTTGATCAGTACGCATATAGAATCAGATGTACAAACAGTTTAATTACCTTCAGAAAAGTACAAGCAGCTAAGGGAACATAACTACAGTAGTACTGAACAAAAACCAAATCTAAGACGCTCCATTACTCGCCGATCAAGATATTCAAGAGACGAGCAGTAGCTAGCATAAACGTATACAATAATGGAGATTTGCAGTGGCACGCTTATGAGATGGGGCTTGGAATAATGCCAACTCCCAAGCATTCTTACACAGTACTCCCAAGCATTCTTACACAGTATTCCTAAATGATTAGCACATTTTATCTTTGACACCAAGGCCATAAAACGATTAACTTTGCAAATGCATATGGTCACACGCAACTAATTATAACCTCCGTGTTTTATGGAAATTAAGTGGACGCACAGCTGAACGGACCCTCCGGTTTCGTTTGTTTGATGTTGGTTAATTAGTTTAAAATATTAAAGAAAGGAGGTAGTATTTCGAGCTGGGATATAAATTCATCCGGTCGGAGAAACACGTTGTTTAATTTTTTTTTTGAAAGGACACGTTGTTTAATTTTGAACACCCCCCTCCCCGGGGATTTGCAATTATGACACTGCAAATATTAACCTTTACTATAATGACACTGGACCCATATTTCATAGACACAGATGGGTCCATTTGTCATCCACTCAGAGTGTCAAAACAGCGAAGCCCCCATGTTTGCAGTTCCAATATTGCAATTTTCTCCCTCTCCCCTCCCCACTAGGTGGCGGCAAGCTCGTCCTTTCCCTATGGTGAAAGTGGTGCTTTCCACCCAACTGGTCGGCGTCAGATGCAACCTCGGGAGTGAAGGCTTGCTGGATCTGGGGCATCCATGCCTAGATCCGGTAGCTCCCTGGCTCGGTTAGTGATGATAGCAGCTCCATTTTATTAGAGAATGCCGGTGGCAATGGTGCACGAAAGTAGGTCACCTCGACGTGTTGCATTGGGCTAGGGCGGTTGCAAACACACATGCGAGCGAGCACAACTGACAGTGGGACTGCTTTAACATTGGTAACTCGGTGGAGGCCAAGGTGAAAGCCTAGATGGCGACACCTGTGGGCGTCGTTCCCTTCTTGGAGGCATCTTTTGTGTCTCCCCATCTTGCCGTGTTTTGATTCGTGGTAGTCCCTAGCTTTACCTTGCATTGACACATAAGAATGGCATTTGGGAAGTTGGAGCTGCAACATCGAGGCCTTTGACAAGCTTGGCAACAATTAATGACTCGAAGCTTTGCTTGATTTCATTTGGGGTTTGGCCGTTGTCCTTTGGGAAATCGGAGCTGCTGCGCGATTGCGAGCTTGGCAGCGATGACCCAAGTCTTACCCGCGTCAGTCGTGTTTTGCTCCAGTGTGAGGTGGTGAGTTTTTTAGTTTGCAAGGCTTGTAGGTCTAGCTCGCCCATGCACCAGTAAGACTAGTGATCGTGAAGTCGGAGCTGCGGCATCGACGGGGCGTGACATGCGGCAACGATGACATGAGCCCTTTTGAATTGTGCTTCAGCGTGGGTCGGATCTTTGTCCTTACTTGGTGTTTCTAGGCGAAGTCGGAGCCGCCCGATCACGTAGGTGATGGTGTGATGACGATAATGTCAAGTATATTTGCCAGTCTGGGAGTCTTGTTTTCTTCTAATTTGCTGCTTGGCCTTGTCGTTTTTGTGTTGAGCAGCGTTTGTTGAGTGTTGTACATGGTTGTCCTTTTTCGTTGCTGTGGTTGTTTATGCTAGTTAGAAAGTTTGTTGTGGTTTTCGCTCAATTTTTCCTAATTAACGTATATTGTAAGGTCTGGTCTCATTTTCTCTTTAAAATGTGATATTTTCTTCTTTATATAAAACGTCAGTAACAACGTGACCGTTCAAAGAAAAGAACATGTTTTGGTTGTCCGTAAAAACAATTTTCATAGTAAAGCTTTAGCATAAATTAAAAAATAAGTTATATATTGTTCCGGCCAGTGTATAATACTACGATCTATTCATCCTCCTACAAGCTGAGAACAGATCCTTTCAGATAGCATATTAGCATGCAGTGCTGATCGTAGATCTCACACTCTTACTGATTCACTGAAGTGTCTATGTTAAGCTCACTTGCAAGTGTTCCCGGATTGGGCGTGCGTCCACGTGAAGCGGCACATCACATGTGCTGTGCACGCGCGCAAACTGGCAACCTGCAGGCAGCAGCTAGCCGCGCAAATGCATCAGTTCACCACCACCGCCCATATGCATTCATGGTCCTAAGCTCAATTAGCTACTAAGATCTGTGCCGATCTGAGCGGTGGAGTGTCCCAAAAATAAAAATTCTGGGATCTCTGCTTGAGCACAACGGCGACCGTAAATGATGCGATCAATGCAGACTTAATTAAATTAGGATAAAGTTAGTAAATTTACCTGTCAAGACATGGCCAAGTGATTGGTAAATGGAGATCGAGACAACCTTAAAGAACATAAGATCGAATCTTTCCAGCACGAATGCTATGATGAAAAGGTTAGATCGATGGGGGTGAGGGTGAACTGAACATGGTTACATGCATGCGTATCCATGAGTACTGAATTAGCCAGCTCCTTGTCACTGTGTTATTCCTTTTGACGCATGTTGGGAGATGATGCATCGATGCGCCCTGTACCTGCTTCGCTGTTTTCCCCAACTTGCCAGCTTCTCCATGGCGAGAAAGAACAGTGGCAATGCAAACTCGTCTTGGAACCCACTGCTTTGCCTATAAATATGTAGCTATAGCTTCTCTGCTTTCCGTCGCTTAACACAGTTAACACCAACGCAGTGGTGCTCTCTCTTCAGTTAGTGGAGCTTCAGAGAAATGGCTTTGGCTGGTAGGCTACTTGTCCTCTTCGCCATTGCTCTCCTTGCCATCTCCATAGCCGAGCACAAGGTGAGATCTAGTCTAGCTATATATGTGTGCGTAGTTCATAAGTTTCTCCAAGAAGCTTAAGCTTAATCATCTGCTAACTAGCTAGCTGTTCTTGCATTTTTCAATTAGGCGCTAGCCAAGGGATCAACCAGTGAGCATGATGATAACGTTTACCAAGTAAGCAAGGTTAGTTTCCTCACAACAGATGAATCGGTCCCTAGTTCAGTTTCTGAGATCCAGCAGATTTAATCATTTCACTCTACTTACTTTCTTTGCGTAAAAATCGTAATTGCAGGGAGGACAGGGCAGCCTGAAGAGCTATCGTAAGTGATAAATACTTCCTGTGATCCTGTCCATGCAAACCTTTCTGTAGTTAGCTGCATTTTTTTCACCCCTTCACCTTTCACCTGTCCTCTGTGGCATGCATGCGTCGTGCATATGCATATTAGTTCAGGCCGCATGGTCTGATCTAATAAAGAATCTGCTGCTGCTAAAATTTAAATTTTAAAACTTAATTTTAAAATAAATTTAGGGTATTTTTTATATTACATTGGTTTCTATAAGTAGCTATATATATATATATATATATTATTTTTATTCGCTAATAAGCAGTAGTATACACTATGTTGCATTGTTGTGGGTCAGCTAGGTGACACTACAGCCTTACGTACAGGTAGTGTTTTGTCAAGTACATCTCCTATACAGAGCTAAAGTACAGTGGACCAGTAGCATTAATCCACTCATTACTTCATTAGTGATAAAACAGTGACGATCCAAAAATTCAGATAACTTGAAACAAGCTAGATAGATCTGCACGCTGAAATGCAGCAGCAGTAACCAGCCGCAAACGTTTGCATTGCATGGTTTGTCCAAGACACGGCTAAGCTGCAGCCAGATGCTAATGAAAATGCTGTAACGTGTAAATTTGTTGGGTGGATGCTGCAGAGTGCTCGCCGCAGTGCGCGTACCGGTGCAGCCAGACGCAGTACAAGAAGCCGTGCCTCTTCTTCTGCAACAAGTGCTGCAACGCCTGCCTCTGCGTGCCGTCGGGCCTCTACGGCAACAAGGGCGAGTGCCCCTGCTACAACAACTGGAAGACCAAGCGCGGCGGCCCCAAGTGCCCGTGAAAAAACCTTCAGTGGACGCTCGAATTCTTTGGTCATTTCAGTACCCAAACTCTGCTCGCACGATGCCGATTGATTCTAGCATGGCCGTCGGGGCAGAGGCAGCTGTGGCTTCCTATACATTACATACACACGGTTGTAAAAATGTACATCTGGGCTATCCATTGCTGTACGCCTGAACGGTTCCAGAGGGGTGATGCAAATCATGCAGATGCAGCTGTATCGCTACCACGAAATTCACTCGATTTGATTAATTTGATCGAAATTTGCCAAAGTAGAGCTACTTTCCTTTCCGACCCCGCGGCTGCAAGAGAACATGACACGGACGACGCCAATTCTCGCCAAATTTGCCCTCGAACAGGTTCGCGTTCTCGGCCTCGTGCCACGTCGCGCGAGCGTTCGGCCTGCGAGAGGATTGCCTGTGACGCTGGGCTTTGACTTTGTTCCACATTGGCTAACGCACGATCCGCTTAAAAGAGCCCAAGCGTACAAAGATTTTATGAAAGGGGAAGCCAAAGTTGGCTAGCTTTGAGGTCATTTTAAACGTCAGTTGATTGATTTTTAACAAGTTTCAATCGATTAGTCCAATCCTCCCAATGCTGGATTGGGCCAGTGGTTCAACAAGGAAAAATCGAAAACAAAGGTTTCGCTGGAACAAATTCAAGGAAACATGCTTTCATGTGGGTCCGATTCCTGGTCTCCAGGCTACAAGTGAGCAGCAGTGATCAACTGGCCATCCAAGCAATTCTACATTATTGTGGTTCGACTGCCCAGTCCACGGATGAACCGGTAGACCGATGAACCAAATGGTCGATCCGGTCAACTATCGGTCACAATGTTCCAAAGAGGGAGTCCTAATACCCGCAGTTGCGCACACACTTAGAGCAACTACAATAGCACATTATAAGCCAGCTATGAATATATTTTAAAGAGATAAGGGAAGAGAGAGGAGAGCATCGGGCTACAGATTTATAGCCAGCTGCAGCATGAGTTCTAATATGCAATATGTGTATGACAGGTGGGACCAGGTGTTAAAAGTGTAGTATATTATGTTTATAGGTAACTATTGTATGAATTGGCTATTAAATTACCTATAAATGATTTGGAGCTAATAGTTGGCTATACTATTAAACTTGGTCTTAGCACCCCTGACGATGTGGTAACTCTAATTTTCTCTCTAATTCGACCATTTAATTTAATTACTTCCTATAATAAAATAATAAATAAATAATTGAGTTAGAAGCTTAAATTTCTTTGAAATTTGAGTTGGGATTTTCAATTTTTTTTGTTGAAATTAGTATGAACATGAACTGGGAATTTCAAAATTTGAGTTGGAGGTTACAAAATTTTGTCGATCATTTTTTTAAAATTGAGATGAAAGTTTTAAAAATCAAGTTAAAGTTTAAAAAATAAAATATAATTTGAGAACAAAGTTTTGAATTTTTGAATTGAAAGTTGACTCCATTTTTTACATGAGTGCGTTTATAGGGATGAGTGTGCGTGTGTTGTGTGTCTACGTTATATAGTAATTCTTTAAAAAAAAATACATCGACACTTTCTGTTGAAAAAAAAAACGCCGCGAGCGAAGCGAACGAACAGCGGCGACCCGGGAGGCCGGGACCGGGAGAAGGAACAGCGAGCCGATCATCGAAGGGACAGATGGCGTGGGCCTGTTGGGCCGGAAATTTCCCGTTTCCTTCCAAAGGAATAAGTTCACCGGAGGTCCCTCAACTTAACAGTGAGATTTTTTTTAGGTCCCTTACCTATAAAACAAAAAATGTGCACCCCTAAACTTACGCAAACCATGCACACAAGATCCTATGGTAGTATATATGGGTGGTTTCACTGACGTGGCATCCTAGTCAGCAAAAATAAATAAATAAAGTACGTGGGGCCCACATGTAAGTGAGAGAAAACGATACGGGCCCACATCCCTTCTTTCTGCCCCTTTCTTTTCTTTTCTCCTTTATTTTCTTCTCTTCTCTCGTCTTCTTCGACAGGCCGAGACGGGTGGAGGGACGGCGGCGGGGAGAGCGGCGGTGGCGGCAGGCAGGAGCTGCGAGGAGTAGGCGAGCGCGGTGGCCTACCCCCGCTTCTCCTGCCTGCTTCGCCTGCCGCCGCCACGCTCACCCACCGTCGCCCCGCTTGTCTCGGCCCGTCGAAGAAGATGAGAGAAGAGAAGAAAATAAAGGAGGAAAGAGAAGAAAGGGGAAGAAAGAAGGGATGTGGGGCCCACATCGTTTTCTCTCACTTACATGTGGGCCCCACGTGCTTTATTTATTTATTTTTGCTGACTAGTACGCCACGTCAGCGAAACCACCTACATATACTGTCATAGGACCTTGTGTGCATGATTTGTGTAAGTTTAGAGGTGCGTATTTCTAGTTTTGTGTTTAAGGGACCTCAAAAAATCTCGCTGTTAAGTTGAGGACCTCCGGTGAACTTATTCCCCTTCCAAACATGAAACTTTCCTCAGTGGGCTGTGTGTTCCGGGGAGAATGGGGTCAGGAACCAAGGTTGCCAAATAAAGCCCGAAGCGAGGCCCACACACTCTGCACTTCCACCGCCGGCCGCCGCCGCCGCCGCGTCCCAAGTCCGGCACCGCCCCACGGCGGCGCACGACCCCGTCCGAGAAGGGCTCTCGCTTTCGCTGCTTCTGCTCCCTTTCCCCATCCGATTCGGATAGCGATTCTTCCCTATAAACAGGGAAGAGAGATTGAGACCTGAGATCTCTAAGTTTGGGGGGTGGGCATCGCAGCGGCGTGCGTGATGACGAGCTCCGGCAAGCGAGCCGACGGATTCCTGAGGCGGTTCCGGCGCCGGCGACTCCTCGCCTTCCTCCGGCGCGAGCACCTCTACGCCACCTTGGACGCGTACGCGAATCCTTCTCTCCTTTTTCCCTAACTACTTCTACTACTACTACTAGTCGCTGATTGAATCGGATGCAGGCTGGGCGGCGAGACGCGGCTGTTCCTCAACGCGCGGACCCTGCAGACCATGCTGGCGGACTGCCGGTGGGAGGAGGCGCGGCGGTACGTCGGCCGCTTCCTGCCGCGCCGCCAGATTGGGGTGGAGGCGCGCGCCGTCCTCAGACTCATCGCCTACCTCAGCGCCGTCGACGACGTCGCCCAGGGCAGACGTCCGGGGAGCGAATTCGCCGGCGACCATCTCGAGAGGGAGTTCGAAGCTGACGCTACTTCCTCCAATACCATGGTCTGCGCCGATTTCGTCCGGAAATTCTCCCGCAAGCGCTCCTCTTTCCCAGGAAGATGGTCTCGCCCCCATCTGCTCTAATTTTGCCCCTTCCATCTGTCCAATTATCCTTCACTATGTCGCTTCACCCTCTTGGTTTCTCCTACACAGGGATTCCGTTGAATGGCAATTCCTTAGGATCCAGGCAGCATTGATCGTCAAGGAATTGGTCATCAACACTCCGGAGTTCAGTCATCTGTTGCGGTTGCCACGGTACCCAGTCAATCCGGAATGCATGATGCCCGTCTGGTTTGGGTAAGTGCCACATCCTGATATGGCTCCGTGCGGAAGATATAGTTCAATTTTACTCTATCTGGATGTGTAGCCGACTTACAGTTTCACTATCAATTTGTAACTGAATGTTTTGCGTCATATTGCTATTTTCAGGTGTTGCCGGAAGCATCAGAGAAAGATCATAGGTCGGATGCCGGCATCTCTTCTAGCCCACTGTTTTCTTCCAAAGGAGAGGTAATATCCTGTGAACTAAATTGATGCTCCTCTCTGTTCGACTGTTCTCTGGTTAAGGAAGTTCACAGCTTTTAACTCTTTCCTTCATGCAGGTGTCCTTCACCAAAGAAACAAGGTTTGTCTCTTAAAACACCGTATTACTATTGTATAAGCACGCTAGTTGATGGTCATATGTTTCGATTGCATTACTGGAGGCATTATTGGTGAAACATTCGCCTTGTTTCTGTCCTTGTTCATGCATAAGCTGGTGTGCTAAATGTATCACCTGGATTTAGTTTACGCCCTTCACTTTTTGTTTCTACTTCCTCCGTTTTCACAATGTAAGACTTTCTAGCATTGCCCACATTCATTTAGATGTTAATGAATCTAGACATATGTATGTGTTTAGATTCATTAACATCTATATGTATGTGGACAATGCTAGAAAGTCTTACATTGTGAAACGAAGGGAGTAGTAAAGTTATGGCATTCTCCTCTATCAGAAGAACAGCTACGGTGTCTTTGTAACGGTTGCTATCATTCTTTAGAAAAAACACCTTTTGTAACAACCTAATGACACACTAGAAAGAATTTGTTGTGACCATCAATTCATCCAATGCAATCAATGTTTCTAAACAGCAAGTATGCTATATTATATTATGCAAAAGATTTTTTTTCCCTGAGAAAACCATAGTCGTCAGCTGCCCTATCTAAGAAAATTCTACATGCAATGATGGACAAACTCGTGCGGTTTAGGTGCTAGCTAGGGTGTTGGAGGTCAAAGAACATTCGGATTCTTGTAAGAAACCATCATTTGCTCCAGTAGAGGTTTATTTCAGCTGCTTTTCACTTCTGGCCTCGTTATTTAGTTTATTCAGTAGTCACATACAATCTGGGCCCTTCTCTGTTTCTGTTCGGCTCGACAACACGGCGCCGGGGAGGCGAGGTTATCGGCCTCGCCCTACCGTCACCCATTCCTACCACTTGCGCAATCGGGGGCTGCTCGCCGTAGCTCCTAACATCTTGGTATCAGCTTCCAGCGATCCTTCGTCATGTCGCGCTTCCACCTCCACCATGGCTGCCAACAATGGCGACAGCGACGACATCTGGCGCCAGCGTTTTGAGGAAGTCTTGGCATGCCTCGACGCCGCCATAGTAGGCGATCGGCCGCCCCGCTACCACAAGCTGGACTTCCCCAAGTTCGACGGCCACGGCGATCCACTCCCGTTCCTTAATCGTTGCGAGCAATTCTTCCGGGGTCAACGCACACCAGAAGATGACAAGTTGTGGCTGGCTTCGTACCATCACCTCGATGGTGCTCAACAGTGGTACACCCGTCTGGAACAAGATCATGGCGCACCCTCTTGGCGTCGTTTCTCCGATCTCCTCAACCTGAGCTATGGACCGCCATTACGGTCGGCACCTCTCGGCGAGCTGGCGGCCTGCCGCCGGACGACGACCGTCGACGACTACTCCGAGCGCTTCCTCGACCTTCTGGCCCGCGCCGGCTATCTCTCCGAGGATCCACAGGTACAGCTGTACACGGTTGGCTTACAAGAACCCCTCAGTTTGGATGTTCAGATGCAGAATCCGACCACACTGGAGGTGGCCATGAGCTTGGCGCGATCATACGAGCGTCGCGCCATCAGCGTCCACCATGACAGGCTGCGGGCCGCGGCATATCCTTCTCCTACCACAAGTAGCGCACCCGCCAGGTCCGGCATCGGACATCGCAGCCACCGCTGCCAAGCCAGCGGCCGCGCCACCTGCGCCGGGACGCGCTGTCCGCCGGCTGTCGCCAGAAGAGATGGACGAACGCCGCCGACAAGGGCTCTGCTTCAATTGCGACGAGCCGTACTCACGGGGCCATAATCGCACCTGCCGGCGCCTGTTCTTCCTCGAGCTGGACGAGGATGATCCCGACGCCAATGAGGTCGCCAACCCCGACGAACCGCACGAGAACCTGCGCATCTCCCTGCACGCGGCCACAGGAGTCCGCGCGTCGGACGCCATGCATGTCATGGTGCGACGCCGACCTCTACACTCTCATCGACTCGAGCTCCACGCACACCTTCATGTCGCAACATGCGGCATCCCGCGCCGACCGGCCTCCCCAGCCGCGCAATGGTCTCCACGTCACGGTGGCGAACGGCGACAAGGTACCCTGCCCCCGGCGTCTTCCCCGACATGGAGTTCCGCGTCCCCACCGAGCAATTCAAGACGGACATCTACGTTCTCTCGCTGGGTGGCTATGACCTGGTATTGGGCACTCAGTGACTCGCCACATTGGGCCCGATCCTTTGGGACTTCTCCGCGTGGACGATGTCATTCTGGCACGTTGATCGCCAGGTCACACTCCATGGGCTGCCCGGCAACCAGCGACCTCGCGCGTGGGCGTGCGCGCCGACCCCCCTCCTCGACACGCTGCTGGACGAGTTCGCCGACGTGTTCGCGGAGCCGACCGGTTTGCCGCCGGAACGCGACCGCGTGCACCGCATTCAGCTGTTGCCAGGCTCGGCGCCCGTGGCGGTTCGGCCGTACCGCCACCCTGCTCGCCACAAAGACGAGCTCGAGTGCCAATGTCGAACAAGGCCTCATTCGCCGGAGCTCGTCGGCGTTCTCATCTCCGGTGTTGCTCGTCAAGAAGGCCGACGGCTCGTGGCGGTTCTGCGTCGACTACCGAGCGCTGAACGAGCGCACGATCAAAGACAAGTACCCGATACCGGTCGTCGACGAGCTGTTAGACGAGATGCACGGCGCCACCATCTTCTCCAAGCTCGACTTACGGTCTGGGTATCATCAAGTGCGTATGCACCCGGATGACATCGACAAGACGGCATTCCGGACGCACGATGGGCTCTACGAGTTTCTGGTGATGCCATTCGGCCTGACGAACGCGCCAACCACGTTCCAATCCCTGATGAACGATGTGCTCCGGCCGTTCCTCCGCCGTTTCGTCCTCGTCTTCTTCGACGACATTCTCATCTACAGCCCGTCGTGGACAGCACATCTACAGCACGTCCGTACCGTGTTCATGGCGCTCCGCGCGGCCAAACTCTTCGTCAAGCGCTCCAAGTGCTCATTCGGGGACGCCAGCGTCGCCTACTTGCCACATTGTGCCGCGACACGGCGTCGCCATGGATGCCTCCAAAATTCAAGCCGTCGTGGACTGGCCGCGCCCTCACTCACCCAAGGATCTTCGCGGGTTTCTCGGGTTGGCCGGCTACTACCGCAAGTTCATCCAAGATTTTGGGACGGTGGCCGCACCGCTGACGCAATTGCTCCGCAAGGACGGGTTCACATGGTCACCATCCGCCGACGATGCGTTCCAGCGGCTCAAGCTCGCACTGACCACCGCTCCGGTCCTCACCCTTCCAGACTTCACCACGGCTTTCACGGTGGAGTGCGACGCGTCTGGCACGGGGTTTGGCGCGGTCCTACACCAAGGCGCCGGGCCGATCGCGTACTTCAGTCGGCCGGTCGCCGCTCGATACCAAGCACTGGCGGCATATGAACGGGAGCTCATCGGACTAGTGCAAGCTGTTCGACACTGGAGACCGTATTTGTGGGGGCGCCAATTTCTCGTGAAGACGGACCATTACAGCCTCAAATACCTGCTTGATCAGCGGCTTTCCACGATTCCACAGCACCATTGGGTAAGTAAATTACTGGGATTTGATTTCACCGTGGAATACAAACCAGGGAAGCAGAACGCGGCGGCAGACGCCCTGTCACGCCGCGCGCCACCGGAGGGCCAGCTTCTTGCATTGTCGATGCCAACATTCGACCTCCTCCACGAGCTGCGTTCTTCCTCGGCCTCCGACCCGGCACTGGTGACCCTCCGGGATGAAATCAACGCAGGAACATGCGGTGCGCCGTGGGCACTCGTGGACGGCTTCGTCACCTTCAAGCGCCGCATCTACGTGCCTCCCGAGTCACCGTGGCTATCGGCGATCGTGGCGGCCGCTCACGACGAAGGACACGAAGGCATCAAAAGACTCTGCATCGACTCCGGCGTGACTTCCACACGCCTCATGACCGCCGCCTCGTCAGCGACTTTGTTCGTGGCTGCCTTGTCTGCCAGCGCAACAAGACGGAGCACTTACACCCGGCGGGGTTGCTGCTTCCGCTTCCGGTGCCGGCGGCGGTGTGGTCCGATATCGCCATGGACTTCGTCGAGGGTTTACCGCGCGTTGCAGGCAAGACCGTCATACTAACGGTGGTGGACAAGATCTCCAAGTATGCCCACTTCATCGCCCTGGCGCACCTGTACACGGCGGAGACGGTGGTGCGCGCGTTCTTCACCGACATTGTCCGTCTCCATGGGGTACCCACGTCCATCGTCTCCGACCGGGACACCGTGTTCCCCTCGGCGTTCTGGACAGCGCTCTTCGCGGCAACGGGCACCAAGTTGCACCGGAGCTCAGCGTTCCACCCCCAATCGGACGGACAGTCGGAGGCGGCCAACAAGACCATTTCCATGTATCCTCGCTGCCTCACCGGTGACCGTCCGCGCCACTGGCTTCGCTGGTTGCCATGGGCGGAATACGTCTACAACACCTCCTTCCACGCCGCACTCCGCACGACGCCATTCAAGCTCGTCTATGGCAGGGACCCTCCATCTATCCGCGCCTACGACGCCAGTGAGACGCGGGTGGTGGCTGTGGCGCAGTCCATGGAGGAACGGGACGCATTCCTCGCCGACGTTCGCGTCCGTCTGGAGCAGGCCCAACAGTACGCCAAGCGCTACTATGACAAGCATCTATGGCTTCGCGTTCGCCACCGAGTGCCGGCGTCGCTGCCGGATGCAACCAAGGGCAAGTTGAGGCCCCGTTTCTATGGACCGTACCAGGTCCTCGCCGTCATCAACAACGTCGCTTATCGTTTGGCGCTTCCACCCGGCACTCGGCTGCACGACGTATTCATGGGCCCACCTGTCAGGCTTTCTTTTCCTCCTTCCTCCCGTTATCTTCCTCCTCTTCCTTCTTCTGCCGAGCAAACTGACAGGAGGGAGAGGAGGGGCGTCGGTGCTCCAGTGGCCGGAGGGCGGCGATACTGGCGGCGGGTTGTGTTCCCGGGTGTGGCACACCTAGGGAGTGCGGTGGCTGGACAAGGGAGTGAGAGAGGAGGCCGGAACGGCGAGCACAATTGCATGAACCGGAGAGAGAGAGAGAGAGAGAGAGAGAGAGCTCCGGTGACGCTCGATTCAAAGGGGAAGTGAAGGGGGAAGTGGGTAAAATGGGTTCTTCGGTGTACGGGGTGGCTGGTGGCGAATGGATTTGGTTTGGGATGCTCTATGGATGGAGATCGATCGGTGGCGGCCATGGCCGGACATGGCCAGGAGAGACAGAGACAGAGCTCGGCTCGGTTTTGTGTGGAGAAAAGGGGAGGGCTCGCCGGCTATTTATAGGCGGCAGATGTCGGTTTGCTTGCGAAGGTCGGTTCGCCGGAGGAGGACGAGGAAGGCACGGCGACGACTTCGTGAAGGAGAAGGGGACGGCACCGGCTTCCGTTCGTGATTGGCTGGTGATGGCGGCAGTGCACACGCGGCGACGCCAGTGATGTTGGGCGGCGGAGGAGGAGAGGCACGGCACGGCGATGACGTCGGCGCGACTCGGTGGGCGGCATTGGGAGGACCGAGGCGGCGGCGTACCGTGAGCGCGTGTGCGACGAAGGCGGTTTCCGTGGGCGGGGGTTGCTAGGGCGCGCGTGCGCGCCAGGGAAATAGCTCGCGAGCACTCCCTCCAATTTAGTGTTAACTATCTATATTATATCTATATTAGTTAATATACTTAACACTTAACACTAATGATGATAATTAGGAAAAAATTCTGGAGATTTTTTTGGGAGATTTTACTAACAGATTGAAAAAAATTTAAGTTAGATTTGAAAACTTTCAATTTAAGTTTTAAATTTTAAAAACTTTCAACTCAGATTTGAAAATTTTTAACTTGAGATTTGAAAACTTTCAACTCGAGAATCGAGATTCGAAAACTTTCAAGTCCAGATTTGAAAATTTTGAAAACTTTCAATTTGAGATTTGAAAACAATCAACTCGAGATTCGAAAACTTTCAAATCTAGATTTGAAAACTTTCAAGTCGATATTTGAAAACTTTCAAGTCGAGATTTGAAAATTTTCAACTCAATTTAAAAACTTTAGATTTGAAAATTTTGAAAACTTTCAATTTGAGATTTGAAAACTTTCAAGTCGAGATTCGAAAACTTTCAAATCGAGATTTGAAAACTTTCAAGTTTAAATTTGAAAATTTTCAAGTCAATTTAAAAACTTTCAAACTCAAAACATGCTAAAGATAAAAAATATCAGAAAAAAGAAAGAAAAAAAAGGGAAAAAGGTAAAAAAAAAAGGAAAAAAATTCGCAAGAAGACGCGCGCGCGCCGGCGCTGGGCCTACTGGGCCTGAAACGCGTGCCGCCGGTGCGCGCGCGCTAACTAGCATTTCCGGGTTTGGGCGCCGCGTGCGCCCACAGAAGAGGAGAGGGCGTCTTCGGCTGGAGACTGGGCCGACTTGGGCTGGAGGAGAAAGAAGGTTTCGGCCCAGCTTGAGTTGAATTGGTTTCGAAATTTTGAAGGGGATTTGAATAGGAAATTTTGAATATTTGCCTAAAGAGAAGGGTTTTAATCTAGTGTTTTTGGAAAGGTTTTGCAAAGATTCTGCACTGTAGCAATATCTCACTAATATAAGGGTGAACTAAGGAAATTTTTGAAGTTTTGAAATTTGAAAGAAAATTGCTAAAACACTAGAGTTTAGGGTAGGGGAAAAATTAGGGTTTAAGGGTGAAAATGAGTTAAGGAATCCTAGGGGGCAACACTTGAACCAAAATCAAGAATAAAAAGGGTTCAATTAAAGAGGATTTTGATTTTTGCTAATTAAGAATTAAAACCAGTCAAAAGTCAGTATGACGCAGTCAAATTTTAGCTTAAAATTTGAGGATGTTACACCTCCCTCCGACGCCATCGATGCCTCCAAAACCCTCGTTTAAAGCCTCATGAAAACCACCATCGATCCCATACCCCCCTCTTATCTCTTCCTCTCCATCTATCCCTCTCTCCCCCCAATCTCCACACAGCAATGGCGAAGCCAAGGCTGCTCGCCCTCCTCCTCCTCCTCGCCCTCTCCTTCTCGCACGGTACTCACGCGCTCGCATCTCTCGCCTCATCGATCTCTCGCTGTGTTAATTGGTTAATTTCATGATTTTTGGTGTGGTGTGTGTGCGGTCGATCGATCGATGCAGGGGTGGTGGTGGCGACGGTGGCGAAAGCGAGGGACGTGCAGCTGGTGAAGCTAGTGCGCCGCTACGTGCGGTGGCGCTCGGTTTTCCAGGCCGGCATCGGGATGGTGTCGACGGTGGCGGACTACTCGGATCCCAAGACCAACACCAACCCCCGCGGCGGCGTGCTCCCCCCGACCAACCCTAACTCGCCGCCGGCGCACTGATCGCCGACCACCGCCGTCGATCTACGGTCTCCTTCCACCCCGGTCAGCCGGCGACGTATCTGCATATAAATACACTATACTATACTACCATATAAATACATAGTACTCCCTCCTTCCCTAAATGTTTGACGCCGTTGACTTTTTTAAATATGTTTGACTATTTGTCTTATTCAAAAACTTTTGTGAAATATGTAAAACTATATGTATACATAAAAGTATATTTAACAATGAATCAAATAATAAAAAAAATTAGTAATTACTTAAATTTTTTTAATAAGACGAACGGTCAAATATATTTAAAAAGTTTAACAGCGTCAAACATTTAGGGATGGAGGGAGTAGTAGATACGGCATATAAATTCAGAATACATGTGCGTAAGCGTATAATTAAGTAGTAGTAGAGGAAGGGGCGAAGGATCGGAATAAGCTGACGGCGTTCTTCTCCTTGAGCATACGGTGTGCAGTGACCGTATACATGTACGCGTACGTATGCGCAGCGTACAACACGAGCCAATTATTGAAGTAGAGACCTAGCTAGACTTGTGCTTGACTGTCTGTCATGTGTGTGTGATTATTGCGTGTCATGATGTGATCGATCGTTGATTGATTTTGAGATTCTTAACAATGCTTTGTTTAATTAATTTCGACGATTAATTGTTCGAACGTATACATGTGCGTGTGTGTAATGTTGATGTGTCCTGCATTTCGTCCCCGTTGTATTACAACCGATCCATGTATTTTGCAAGAAAACCATCTCAATAATAATGTGTCATTGTTGGATGTAACAGAGTGTTTTTTTGTCTTGAGTTATTCGTCTCTATTCCATTTTCCACGAATTTAATTTTCTGTCGACCACTGAACGGTCTGGGTTTGGTTCATGTGAAATCAAGAACACCATTTTTCAGCGAGCGCACACCAATTATAGTTTAGAGTTTAGTTCAGCTAATGAAACAAGAACCAAGAAATCATTCATCTTCAGTTATTGGACTACTCTTGCAAATGTGGTCAACTCATCTCCATTCTCAAGTCTCAACGGGTCAATGAAACACGATACTGTTCAGAACTTCAGACAAGTTTTGGCATGCATTGTCGGAGAGACGTAATTATAGCTTGCATTTCTGATGTCAAGCTTCCTCACGGTGTGCATCGTCGTTGGTTGCAAGCAAGGTTTCTTTCTTTTTCCTTTTTGAATTTTGAAATTTGGTTGCAAGCAAGGTGATGATGAAAATTGGTACACTAGTTTAATTTAGGCTCGTCTACATTGCAAGGATCATGGACTTTTCAGACATGGTGAAATTGACAATGGAAATGGTTTGATTCAGCAGGAATATGTTCTTACAATCTTCTTTGTTCACGATCAAAGATCCTGCCTTTGTTTGATGTCATCGTCCGATCCTAGGTGTGTTTTTCATTTCGCTGAATTAGCTGTATGCCCTTTCTTCGAGCACCAATCATGCTTTGCAACTAGGGATACCAAAAATCATTGCTTGCTTGATCAACACAACACCATATATATGACTAAACGAGCATCGATCACATACATGAATATTAGGCCATCGATCTGGGTCAACTCATCGGACTAGCTGCTGCAGGATGTGAACTTCGAGTTCAATTCTAGTTTGATCTGCACCAACCTGATCGTAATCAAGTTTAGTCTGTTGCTTTATAGTCTGATCCGATCTCATTTTTCTTACGGATATAAGTCCATCATCAGGTCATGACTCCCGTCTCCAAGCTGCATGAAAGTTGACTTGCTGAGTGACGTGCCACCAGTTAGCAAATTGAGCTGCTAGCTACTCCATCAATGTAAGAACTTCTGGAATTTTTCACGGGATATCGATTACGAGAGAGGTGAAATTAAAGGTCAGATTCATTCAGAAAATAGTAGAGATTAAATGATAGATGGTCCTCCCTCCCGCCTCAAAAAAAAAAAAGAAACAATTTCAACGTGCTTTTTTTAAAAAAATAATAAAATCTATTCAAATTTTGAAATATTTCGGACCAAAATATTTCAAAATGTCTGCAATTTCAAAAATTTCGGCTCTACTAGTGCCCCACGACAGAAAGGGCCATTAAACCTTGTGAAGAAGTAGTTATACTTCTGTACATTCTTTTGATAATTTGATCGGTTGGAACATGTCAAGCTCGCGATGCATCCATCGACGATGACGCATTCACGCAGAAAGAAAACAAAATAGTCCACACCTCCACGGCGATACCAAACCGGGGGAAAAACAAGAAGAATTTACGGTAAACACCTTGGTTTAATTTGGTCAGCCTTGAGTCTTGAGCTTGAGAGATTAATTTGCATGGAGATGGAGCCATGCATGGATGGCCAAGCCAAAAAGAGGAGAGCAGATGACGAAACCACAAATATCGTATGGTCAGAAATCCTGCTGAAACCACAAACTTTCCCATAGTCCCTCATCATATCTTGGTATGATGAAAACCAAAAGTTACAAACAAAACATCTTCTCCAAAAACAAAAAGAACCATCTTCTCCAAAACATCTACTCCACATAAAGATACAACCAAAACATCTTCTCCAAAAACAGAAATAACCACGAAGTCTTGTGCGCTCCCCCAAAATACATAAAGATACAATCAAAACATCTTCTAAACCAGTCTTCCAGGTGAGCTCCCCAACAAAAACAACCACGAAGTCTTCCAGGTCACTTCCCAACCCCCTGATGGTTGTGCTCCCCAAGACCCTCAAAGCCAGATGGCCCTCTTCAACCCAGCGACCCTCAAAGTACATCCCACTTCAGACTCAATCCTCAAAAGTACCTCCTCAAAATGAGCCAAGTCCTCCCTCACACCACTTGTCTTCGTGAACTTACCTAGGTCAATACAGAGCTTGTACAGTTCAGAAAGCTTTTTGAGCATAACATCATCAAAGTCATCACCAAAGAGGTCCTCATTACTACTCCCAAAAACATCTTTTAACTTCATTTGGTTTATGTTAGACTCCAATGAAGATGCAACCAGCTGAATATCCAAAATCTTCTTATAACACACATGTACTTCCCCAGGAACGTATGTTTTCATTAAGTTGGCAAGATCAACACAAAAACCGTGAATTAGCTTAGCTTTCTCCAAAACAAATTCATCACAAAACTCTGATTTTTCTTCACTTCTCTTTCCCCTAGATCGTTTCGAACCAGACCTACATGCAACCATATCAGTTTTCTTCCTTTTGAGTTTCTTGGTTGCTGATGAATATTTGCTTGACATAGAAGATGCTGTCATTTCAAACTTGCCAACCAACTGAGTAAAATCTAGAATAGGCTTACCATCAATATTTTTCAATCTATTCAACAGATCTTGAGTCACCCCTGAACAGTGCTTAACATGGTGTGCGTATACGAAGTGAGGTCTCATCTTCCACATACCCAAAACTTCCCACCCGCAAGCAAGGCAAATCATGCAATCTTTTTCAGATGAAATGTTCTGCAGCTGATGTTTCTCCACGAATTGCTCACACGTAGTGTATTCCTCCCGTCTGAATTCAAAAGAAAATATGTCATGAAAATATTTCTCCACAAATTGCTCACAGTTGACAAAATTTTAACAAAAACAAATCTTAAAGTAGTGAAAGTAGTTAACTTTTTTTGCAAAAATATGCGTCCACGCCATCAACAAAATAACCACGCCCCTCGTCGGACCTAGCTGCACAGAGCTCAAGGGTGCCGCCGCCTCACCTACTCGCCCCCAAGCACCGGCGCTGCCTTCTCCCCATCCAAATCACAACCATCTCCTAATCGACATCAACAGGGTTGCTTTCAGACGCAGGTATTGCCTTCTCATCCAAATGGTTACTATGCAAGAGGGTTTCTTAAAGAAACCGAGGAAGAAGTGCATATGGTTGGAACACCAGGTTTTGATTTGTGTTCATAGATAAAGGTAAGGGGATATATTCTATCAATTTCAATTTTTAGGGTTGAGTGTGCTGAACTGCATAACTGCATCCATTCTTATCTAGACGACATTCTAGTTTCCAGCCAGTTTAAAATCTTCAAAAAGTACAAAATTTCACTAATGGGAATGATAACATGTACTACACCAGTTTTAATGCAAAATGAATTGTTCATGGCAGTTTCAACAGTTTCTCAGAATAATAACATAATAGGAAAACACTCAAGTTGATTTTGTGTACTGAAATAGAGTAGTATAAAAGAAGCCTCTTGCATCTCTATAATATATTATAGTCCTGCCATTCAATTTAAATGAAGATATAGTGATTGATACAGCTGGTCTAAAGTTACTACGTCGGCTGTCTTAATGGTGTAGTTGTGAATTACAGCAGAATGTACACATGTTCTTTGGAGTAGTACATTACAGGATTTGGGGAAAAAACTCATTACTTTGCTAATACGCTCAATTAGGCAAGAGCAAAATTGTGAAGACTAGCTGTTGTTTCGACAGGAACTTCCACAGTATGGCTGTTTTACTAAATTTAATTACTTTAAGATACCATTATTTTTTTAAGTTTCAACTACATATTTGGTTGAATGTGATAAAATAGACTCTACAAAATGACAGTGGGGCTCTCACCGCTGTGGAAAATGCACATGGCAATATTGATAAAGAGTAGCTGATAACATCCTTTCAGATAGCATATTTATTAGGATTGAACAGTATTATTGTCTTATATGAACTAATTTGCCTAGCATTTTATGTGGAATCTGCTATATCTGCACATATTACGTAGCCACCTCAATGTCTATATCCCAAACAAACAAGCTGAAATGAATTCTAAAGATTCTCCCTGAACATATTTTAGTTAAATTTGTATGAGATTAAGCAAAGTTTGAAACAGGCAGCACATATCGTGGGTATCAAGTCATCCAAATTAGTGAGATAATAAGGTAGATCATATTTTTCAATCATGTAGCTACGTTCAACTGAATTTACCTTTTCTTTTCTTTCAGTGAACTTGAAAACATCAAGAGCTACAGTACGAATTATTTTTCACCGTTGGATTGAAACAATCAACGGTTAAAATCTGTGCCACATTGGTTCTAAACAGTAGATGCTACAGTGTTAGCTACAGGAGAAATCCAGCTAAAGTGTTTGTCAAATAGCGTCTAGGAAAATCTTGACCACTACTTTCCAATCCAACGGTGCCTATTTGACTGCTTAAGTTGCTGTGGCTATAACCACTGCAGGTGATCTCAATTCATCAAAGAATGACATATTTTTCAATTGCAGTAAATAAGACAATTAATTAATACTATTTTCAATTTGAATTTAAAAAACAATGCTTACCCAATTGATTTTGGAAAGTAAAGTTTCACATAGCGCGAGAGCTCTTCTTGCGTGCTTCTTCTAATAGGAACCGACGAAGAATTAGATGGGTCCAAATTTTTTATCCTAACACCGAGATCAACAGGTAAGAAAATTCCATCTCTGTCCTCAAGTGAAACGATTGAGTGTTGGTAGAAGATATGAGCTTCATCAATCTTGTTTTCTGCCAATAGCTGAAACAGTTTCTCTTCACGAAACATGAGATATAACGCAGGATGAAGTCTAGCAAAGTCATCGACACAGTGCTCTTGATTATCACAAAGAATACTCCATATATATCCTTCAACCGCATCCCAGTCTTGCTCTTTTATCAGAGTTTTGGCACGGTCCATATCTAAAACTTTCACCCTGCCATGAAGTGTTCAAAACACAGGAATATATAAACCACAGGAATTTTCCAATTAATATTAATCTCATGTATTATAGTATAATTAAGCAATAAAATATTAGTTCCCATCTAGTCACTCCAACGTGATTAGCATCTGTCCCATGGTAGCTAATGGAAAAAAATGAGGTGTGTGTGGATGTTCAGAATCCTATGAAATTCCTATGTTTTCACAGGGTTGCTACAGTATTCCTACGAAATTCCTGCGCATGGTTCCTATGAAACGAATGCATAAACAGTGACAAATCCAAAGGAATTGCCAATCCTAAGAAAATCCTGTGTAATTCCAAATTCTCAATCAATCTTTCAATCGCCGACGGAAGGGAAGGAGCAGCACTTACAGCGAAGGCGGAGGCGGAGGCGCGGGGATGGAGGTTTCTGGCGACGTCGGCAGAGCAGGAGCGGGTGAAGCGCCGAGGATGGTTGCCGCCGCTGACGTCGGCGAAGCAGGAGGCTCGACGACGACGAGGGAGGCTGCCGCCGCCGCTGACGTCTGCAAAGCAGGAGACGCGGCGGGGGAGCTTGCTGGCCCCGTCGGCGGAGCCGCAGCGGGTGACGCGCCGAGGGTGGTTGCCGCCGCCGCTGACGTCGGCGAAGCAGGAGGCGCGGCGCGAGAGGCTGCTGCGGCCGAACCGCCGGGAACGGATCCCCGACGAGACCCACCGCCGGTGGAGGCATCCGCCGCCGCGTCTTCCGCCCCCACGTCTGGTTCCATCTTTGAGAAGAGAATTTAGGGCTAGGGTTTTTGCCTCTTCTTCTCCCCTCTCCCTATGTTTTCCCCTCCTCTTCTTCCTCGCCTCGCCTCGCGTCGCCTCCGCTCCCTCGGTGCGTGGCGTGCGTGAGGTTATTTATACTAGTACCAGTTGGCGTGGCGGTGTGCCCCCTGTGCGGCCATGGTGTGGATCGTTTGGATAAATAAGCATGGCGTTTTTTTGAACGTGCAGAGGGTTGTGTTGTGTCTAGGCGCAACGGCACCGGAGCTAGGTCTCGCCATGTTGATTGATCAACCTCATCGACTCGACTCGAGACGTGCCCCTCGTCGAAAAGCTAAAAGCTTGATCGCTTTTGCCCTTGGAACCGGCGCCGACTCCGGTCAAACCAAAACCGGCCTCGATCACATGCCGCCTGACCAGAGTGACGCAGCGGTTCGACTCCAAAGTGTTGGTGTTTTCACCGGCCGGGTCACGCGTCAGGGTAGGAGTAGTAGTATTACTACTATACTATAATTATATAAATAGTTTTTAACCGAAAATATGTTAAAATAAAAAAGATAGATTTTTTGATTTTTTAAAGGAACTTTTACATAAAAATTTTTACACAAAGTTACCGCTTAGTGGTTTAAAAAACGTATTAATGGGAAACAAGGACACGTTGTTATTAGATGGATTCTAAGAGATTATTTTAATCTAAGGATATGTATTGTCTCATATATATACTCGTATGCCCTAAAGAAAAAATCAGGAGCGAAGATGGAATATACAGTACGTGTCAATGTTTAGAGGTTCAGCAGTTGATCAGCTTGTGGTATGGTGCGGCCTTTTTCAGTTTTAACTAATCGAGTGGAATATATACACTCACGAGACTGGGAGTAGTACAGTATTTTGGAGGATCGTTTCGAATCAATCAATCTTAGACTACGGATGTATTTAGTTCACTGCAAAGTTTATATTTTGATTAAAATTAGAGATGATGGGATTAAAAAGTTATGTGTATAACAGATAGATGTGATGAAAAAAAAACTGAAGTTTTGGATCCAAACACAGCCGACTGCTAGTAGGAGTACTCGTAGATCGGAGTAACGAAAGTTGAAGCGTTACATGCATTACAGTTATTGCGCAGTTAATGCGGCAATGTAACGAGAGCTCTCCGTATTCTCGACAGATACGATTGTGATACCGTACGATTGTGTCTTTCAAAACATTATAATAAAAGTAAACATGCATTTATTTATTGTATATATTATAATAAAAAATAAGATCAAAGGTATATCTTTGTAGAGCGTGTCATTATTTAAAACATCAATTAAAATAAAACCGGAGTACTCCAGTTGTTTTAGTGTTCCAACCACACGTGTTCAGCTGAGTACTCCGTAGTCCGTACAGCCGACTGAGGAAAATCATTGGCATGTCGTTTTGTTTAATTAAAGATTCGGTATCAGGATCTCCTCTGTTTAATTAATCCAGCTGCTCTATCCGTTTTGAGGCTAATTGTTTAGTGTTCCAAACACACGTTCGTTTTTCGGTGCATGCTCCCAACGATCAACCCTAGAACATGGCATCGAGAATGTACGTACACTGCTATGACGACAATTACACACTACTATAAATTTTTAACAACGTTAGCCTTTTTTTTTCAGGCGGATATAACCCTTGAAGCTAAATAGCCATCTAGAAAAATGTAAATCGGGATGGAGCTCACCGTCCGCCTGTGAAAATTAATTTTTCCAGGCGAACCACTTAAGAGGCCCGCCTGCTAAAATACCTTTATTTTAGCAGGCGGGCCTCTTAAATATTTTGCATAGAAAAATCATGCCTCCACAAAAGAAAATCAATCATCCTTATCCTCTCCTCTCCACCACTCATTTCCGTCCCCCTCCTCCCTCTGCACATCTCTCTCACACACTTAACGAAAAAAATCCTCCACCGGCTGCCCTCCTCCCCGCCTCTGCCGCCAGCTCCCTCCTCTACGACGACGACCGCGACGCTGCCTCCACTTGCCGTCGGCTCCCCTCAGCCACGAGATGACGACCTTCACGGCGCCGTGAAGCGGCGCATCCACTGGCTCCCCTCCTCCCCGCCTCCACCGCCGGCTGCCCTCTTCCCCGCCTCCGCCGCCGGCTCCCTCCTCGACGACAACGCCACCTCCGCGAGCCGTGGGCTCCCCTCGGCCGCGATGACGACGACCTTCACGGCATCGTGAAGCGACGGATCCACCGGCTCCCCTCCTCCCCACCTCCGCCGCCGGCTCCCTCCTCGCCACCGGCTTCCTCTTCCTCCTCGACGACGACGACGACGACAGCGCCAACAACGGGAAGACAACGAGGACGCGACGCCGCCGCCACCGGCTTCCTCCTCCTCGACGACGACGACGACGACGGCGCCAACAACGCGAAGACAACGACGACGCGACGCCGCCGCCACCGGCTTCCTCCTCGACGATGACGACGACGACGGCGCCAACAACGCGAAGACAACGACGACGCGTCGCCGCCGCCACCGGCTTCCTCCTCCTCGACGACGACGACGACGGCGCCAACAACGCGAAGACAACAACGACGAGACGCCGCCGCCACCGGCTTCCTCCTCCTCGACGACGACGACGACGATGGCGGCGCCAACAACGCGAAGACAACGACGACGCGACGCCGCCGCCACCGGCTTCCTCCTCCTCGATGACGTGACGACGGCGCCACCGACTTCCTCCTCGATGACGACGCGACGACGGTGCCAAACCTGTGGGGACAGCAACGGACGGAGGAGAGCCGTGGTCGGCCGGAGGGAGAGACCGGGAGCGGCGGTGGGCGTCTTTTTTTTTATTCGCTGAAATGTGCTTTGCAGGCGGGTGAATCTACCACCTGTGAAGATGTCATCCACCTGTAAAAGTTGATTTTCGTAGGTGGGCCTCGGGCCTGCCTGTGAAAATTATCTATTTTCACAATTGTTTGCTTATATGCGGAACGCCAATCCGCCTGAAAAGATGGATTTGGCCCGCCTGCAAAAATCTTTTTTCTAGTAGTGACAATAAGAAACTGAGGACGGTATACACACGCATCACTAGCCCATCCCAGACACAATATACTCTATTTGTTGATGTTTTGAACATAATTTCATATACCAAGGAGTGATTAGTTAGAGCAAGTACAATAGCAGACTATTAGTCAGCTGTAAAGATATTTTAATGAGATAAAAGATGAGAGAGAAGAGCAGCGGGCTATAGATCTATAGCCAGCTGCAGCACGAACTTCAAGACGCAATGTGTGTATGACAGGTGGGACCATATATTAGTAGTATAGTAGGCAACTATTATATGAATTGGCTATTAGATTGACTATAGATAAATTAGAGTTAGTAGTGAGCTATATACTATTAAACTTGCTCTTAGGGTGTTTATTTCATGTTCTGTCCATATTAATTACGATGCGTCAACATCTATTAATGTGGTTTGCATGCATGCCCAGGGGCATACCATTCTAAATAAAGTGAGTGTGTGGAGGCCAAAGCGTCAAGCTTTTGAAGCCAAACAGCCCAACTCCAAAACGTCAACAAATTCATGACCGGATTAGAGCAAATTTAATAGTATAGCCAACTACTAGTTTCAATTCATATATAGCCAATCTAACAGCTAATTTATATAATAGTTACATACTATACTATTAATATCTGGTCCTATCTGTCATACACACACTATGTTTTGGAGTCCGTGCTATAGCTGGCTATAAATCTGTAGCCCGCTACTCTTCTATCTCTTCCTTTATATTCTTAAAATATATTTGCAGTTGGCTTATAGCCTGCTATTGTACCTCCTCTTACCACTGCTACATGCATTATTGCGTACAACGGTATATGTGCGTGCATGCGCAACAAACACATAGAAGTACTCCAAAATTATAGTCTCGCTATATTTATAGAACAAGCTGGCGATCAGATTAGCTCAATTCAAATTTTCGTTCATGGTGCATTCAAAATTTTAGTTGATGGCGCGTCCAAAATTTTCGTTGATGTATTCCAAAATTTGGTTGATGGAGCATTCCAAAATTTGGTTGATGGCGCCTCCAAAATTTTTACGTGCATGCTTTCGCGGGGTCGTTCAGCGCCAAAATAGCAGGTAGTTCATGGGGAAGAATGCCAAGAGTTGCATGCATGCATGCAAAGGCCATTGCACACGGGAGGAGTGAAAGTGTCGCATGCGTCACCCCGAGAAAATCAGTTAAAGCCTCTTGGTATTGCCGATCGGTGCAGTTGCGACCTATATTATTATTATTAGAGCATGTACAATAGCAGGCTATAAACCAACTATAAGCATATTTTAAAAAGATAAAGGAAGAAAGAAGAGCAGCGAGTTACAGATCTATAGCTAGCTGCAGCATGGACTTTAAGACGTAACGTGTGTATGACAAGTAGGACCAGATATTAATAGTATAGTAAGCAACTATTGTAGAAATTGGCTATTACATTGACTATAGATGATTTGGAGCTAGTAGTTGGCTATACTATTAAATTTGCTCTTAAGGAGCTCGGGGAGTAGTACTACTCTACCAGTAAAATAATAAGGGCTTCTTCGATAGGCAGAAATTAATATTATAGGATTTTCATAAGAAATGGGTCAATTCCTCTAAAATTCTCGTGAACGACCTCCAAATCGAATGCTCCCTCCGTCTTAAAATAAGCACGGCCATAAGTTTTCGTGTCTAATTTTAACCGTCTGTCTTGTTTGCAAATTTTTTAAAAAAACTTAAAAAAACATAAGTCACACATAAATTACCATTCATATTTTATAATCTAATAACAACAAGAATATTAATTATAAAAAATTTAAATAAGACAGACGATCAAAGTTAGACATGAAAACTCACGGTTACACTTATTTTAGGACAGTGGGAGTGGATCAGTAGGCAGCAACTGTCCGGCTAGCTTCTGCATGCAAAGCCACAAGAGGAAAGGCCAAGACAACGATTTTTCGAAATTGTGCAAGTGTCGAAATCAGTGGTGGACCTAGGATAAAAGCATAGCTATATGGCGGAGACAAATGAATTGACTCGGAGCATTTCAATCTAATCCATGGAAAAACATAAAAATTGCCCACGTT